AATCCCCTGGAAAATCCTTCCCACCCTGGAGTTTTTTATTTGGCAGGCAGGCCGGGGTCTGAGAATTTGAAAGTCTAATAAGTTCCCCAGAGATGCTGATACTGTTATCTGGTAACAATATGAGGACCACTGTGCCACATCCAGAGCTCTTGACCTTAGCATATTTTAACACCAGTGTGCTTTTAAACACCTATGTCTGTGGCCTAGATAATTGGATTGATTGATTGATTTGATTGATTAACTGAACTAATTGGATTTAAATAGTCTAGGGGAAGAACTGAGCTCCTTATAATTTTAATGCCTTTAGATCAGGACTTCTGTTCTCCTTAAGTAAACTATTTTCTAATTCCAAAGTATGCTTTGGTACCAGCAACACCCCAACCTAGACCGTTGGAACCAGAATCTGCATTTTAGTAAGCTCTTCAAGTGACTTACATACATGCTAGAGTTTGAGCACAGCCTAAGTTTCAACTTACATGTAATTTTCTCAGAAAGGACTTATTTTAGCTGGGCATGGTGATGCACACCTGTAATCCCAGGGGCTTGGAAAGCTGAGGCAGAAAGATCACAAGTTCAAACCCAGCTTCAGCAATTTAGCAAGGCCCTAAGTAATTTAGCAAGAATCTGTCTCAAGGGGAAAAAAAAAAAAATTTAAAAGGGCTGAGGATGTGGCTCCCTGATTAAGCCCCCAGGAAAGAAAGGAAGGAAGGAAGAAAAGTTTTCTTCTAGTTTTTTTGGTGGAGTAGATCTCTGGAGCTCTCAGGTTGGAGAAACACAAACCACTCAGTGCTTCCCAGTAGCCACTCAAACAAGTAGGAAGCCTTTTGCAGAGTCTGTGGGAAAGAAAGTTGTGTATTGAAACTGATCTGCTTTTTGAACAAGTACAGGAGCCAAATGTAGCAATTGCCATAAGTGGGCACCCACATGCAACCAGCTTGGAACCCTCAGCAGTGAATCCTGGAAACTTAGCGGAAGATCCCAGACCAAATCAGATCAAACTCGACCTTAGGTTTAGCCTCATCCTGGACCTGGGTTGTCATGTGGTATAAAATCACTATTGTATGTGGATTATACAGTTTGCATTCTAAATGAGGATTCAGCCTTTACCCCTCCAAGGATTATCAAGTACCAGGGCAAGGAGGGAGCTATCTAACRTGGCACAAAAGCCAAACAGTATTATTTTGGCAAATATAAAAATGAATTAATATAAAGTATTGCCAAGAGTGAGGGGAGTAAGCATCTCATATTCTAGTTGGTGAAAGTGTTCACTGAGAGTTGAGGACATAGCTCAAGGGTAGATCACTCACCTAGCATGCACGAGGCCCCAGGTTTGAAACTCTGAAGGAAGGAAGGGAGGAAGGGAGGCAGGTAGGTTAACTGATACAGAATTTTTAGAAGGAAATTTAGGGAAATCCCTCATAACTTAAACGTGTATAAGTTACGACCTGCATGTCAAAATGTAGCCTTCAGGACTGTTAGGAGATGTGTGTAAAGACACATACTCAAAGATGCACTTTGCAGCATTGTTTCAAAATTTTTGAAATGRAAATAAACTAGATCTAACAATAAAGGAGTGCATAAGTTCCTTTAATTCAGAGGTCTCCTACTTTATTAAAAGAATGACAATTATATATGTTGTACACATGTATGTGTAGTACAACTCCATTTCTGATTTCCAAAAATGACGTATGCATATATCTATATATATATTTACGAATAAGCATGAAAAAAACTGCAAATAGACCCTCCAACCTCCAACAGTAGTTGCTTTTAGGGAGCGGGACTATATTGAGGGAAGTAAGCTTCACTCTTTCAGTATATCTTTCTACAATTTTTGAATTTGGTATAATTGGTATTAATTTTATTATTTAAAAAATATTTCAAACAGATAAAAATTATTTCTTAAAAGACTATTTTTCTCCAAGTGTTTCCTTACATCAACCCATTTAATTATATATTTCAGGCTCATTAATTAGACATAACATAATATGCTATCATTGATTAGGTTTCAATTTTTTGTTTTTTGTTTTTTTTATGTGGTGCTGAGGATTGAACCCAGTTGCACACATGAGAGGCAAGCACTCTACCTTTCTTTCTTTCTTTCTTTCTTTCTTTCTTTCTTTCTTTCTTTCTTTTTTTTTTTTTTTTTTTTTTGGTACCAGGGATTGAACTCAGGGGCACTCAACCACTGAGCTACATTCCTAGTCCTATTTTGTATTTTCTTTAGAGACAGGGTCTCACTGAGTTGCTTAGCGCTTCGCTTTTGCTGAGGCTGGCTTTGAACTCAGTGATCCTCCTGCCTCAGCCTCCCAAACTGCTGGGATTAAAGGCGTGCACCACCACACCCGCCTTAGGTTTCAGTTTTGTTAGATAAAATCTAAACCAATCTGGACTCCTTGAAAATAAATCSAGGTTAATCCAATTGGCTTTTGGATTTCCCAAAGCATTCGTAGTTTCAGTTTAGTACCAGGTCCTGGGAACTCTATTTGTGTCTTTTAACCCCTGCACTTTAATATTGCCTCTTCTAGAGAATCATGTTTAAAAAAAATAGATTCCTTTTAAATAAATTGTCACTAACCAGGTCTCCCAGATTCTGTACCTGATTGTATATTTTTATAAATGTACAGACAGATGTTCACATTTCATTTTGCTAAATTTCACCCTGTAGATTTCAGTACTCCATTCTGATCTGTTAACATAATTTTGGGTCTTCACTTTTATTACACTAGATACTCCCCAAGTATTACATGGCCTAAAATTTTAACCATTGTGAACATAAAATATTCAGACAACAGACACAAAGAAATCTTTTAGACAGTAGAAACCTACTTAAATTTAACCCAAAGGAAATTTGTCTGATGGAGACAGATATCTCACTAGCCCCAAGATGGGAATGAAGCTTAGCCTGGGAGAAGCAACACAGGAAACAGGCCATACTTTCTCCATCTTATCTCTGTCTCAGTCCCCCCACACCTACCTCTCATTCCTCCCAATACTTCTCTCACCCCCACCCCTACCCCCTCCCACTGGTCTCTGCTTGAATGTCTGCAGGACTACAGACCCACCAAGTGTGGGCCTTGGTGTAGCTAAAACTCTTTACCCTGAATTTTTATTCAGGACCCAGGTGCCTTCCTGATCACCAATCCCAGGCACAGTATTTCTACTGGCTTCTCCTCGACTTTACCCCCATTAGCCAGAAATATCACCCACCCTGATATTCAGAGTTCACACCTTTCCTTGGGCCCCAGGGTCGGTTTCCAGAAAGCAGTACATGGAGTTTGATGTCCACTCTGGGCCAATCGAATCCAAGGGGACAAGTCCAAGCAGAATAAACATGGCTTCCCAGACTATCCTCTGTGGCTGGCTGTATTCCTCAGAGAAAGAGATGTAAYATTGATAACCCCCTGGTGAACAGTAAATGGCCCAAATTTGTTAACTATAGAAATATCAGTGGACATTAACTCCATGTCTAAGATGTGTACGAGGTCCATTTAAATTCTAAATAAGGGCAAGGCTTCAGAGGTACAGGACAGAGTATAATTTAGTGGTTAAGCATATTAACTTTAGAGTCAAGCCAGTTATGTATTCCTAATTCTGCACAAACCAGCTTTTATTTTTTAATTTTTAATTTTTATTTTTTGGTACCCGAGATTGAACTCAGGGGCACTCAACCACTGAGCCACATCCCCAGCCCTTTTTGTATTTTATTTAGAGACAGGGTCTCACTGAGTTGCTTAGTGCCTCACTTTTGCTGAGGTTGGCTTTGAACTCTCAGTCCTCCTGTCTCAGCCTCCCAAGCCATTGGAGTTACAGGCTTGTGCCACCTTGCCCAGCCTTCAAACTAGCTCTTTTAATCTCAGGAAAGTTAATCTCTTTATGCCTCAGTTTTCTCRCCTATAGTATGGCAAAAATAATAGGTTAGTTTATGGGGTAGCTTTAGATATTAAATGAGATTCTATATCAGGCTATCTAGCTCAAAGAAAGCATTTCGTTAAATGGTAACTCTCATTATTAATATCATTATATCACCATCAGCATTATTAAGAAGTAAAGTTGTAAGGATGTAATAAATGGCTTTGGTTTGGCATGATACATTTATTAACCATAAGCTTATTTTTCATGTGTACAGATACAGATATTAGGGAATGTATAGGGAACATGTAGAGTATGCATAGGATATATAGGACAGTATATAGCATATATGTGATAATACAATATAAAAATAAATATGTAGGATAAATATAACAGGATATATAGGATAATAAAAATATGCCCTTCCTGTAACTGGGTTCCTTGAGTGGGAGGGGGACAAGGCCTGTTCCACATCTCTGTAAGCACCTGAAGCATTGCCCAAGGAGACACTAAACACATGATTCATAGAAATGTCAGCCTTGTCATGTAATGGCATGAGGAGAAAATACCCTGGAGAAACAGTCCTTTTGTTTAAAATAGAAACTTTGAAGGGAGCCAACTTAACCCATGACAACATGTCTGGTTCCCCTGGGGTGGGAGTGGTGGGAAACGAGTCCCTTCATTTCTGGAAATGAGAAGGGGAATTACAGGTATCCAAAAAAGCCACATTTCTTTTTTGKTGGAGACAAATTCTCCAGCCAAGCCAGGCACCGACCGAGTAGGCGATTTTCACTTCACTGTCACTTCACAAAAGACTTCCAAATTCACTGCGGCAGACACCGCAAAATATATATATTAAAAAAAAAAAAAACACGTTAAGTACATCCTAGCTGGGAGGAGACGGAAGCCTCCACGCTCAATCAAAGGTTTGCAATAATAGGATTCATTAAAAAAAAAAAAAAGACAGATGGGATTAGAAAATGTTGCAGTGAAGACGGGAATGAGATGAGCTCACAGCCCCAGCCTGTCTTTTGTGGACCTACACAATGATCCGAGAGCCAGACTGGATTAGGAAACCTCGCGACTAGGGGACCAGAGACAGGCTGCCGGTCGGTTCCCAGACACTTGGGGGCGAGAAGGCTGAAAGGATGCATCAGATCTACAGCTGCAGCGATGAAAATATAGAAGTTTTCACCACCGTGATTCCTTCCAAGGGTGAGTACAATTGCCCTTGACTGTCCCTCGCTCAGCGTGGCGTCTGATGCGGGAGGGTGAGGACCCTCACGTGCTGTTTCACTACGGGGGACCCTCGGGGCCCTGAGGTCGGATGAAACCGGGTCCTCGGTTTCGATGGTATTGGTTTTTTTTTTTTTTTTTCTTTTTCCTTGTTAAAAGGAGACACAAGGATAAACATCAATCATTGACAAACAATCCTCTATCAAGGGGGAGGGACAGGAGGGCTGTTCCATACCCGTTTCGCAGGCACTCAGTGCCGGCACCCCAACAGGCGGGGTGGAAGTGACAGCCAGTCATTGTGAAGGAAACAGGTACGAAAACCAAATTCCCAGGACAGTTAGACAGGTTCATCTTCTCCAGGGACAAACTGGCTTCCGAAAAGAGAACCCAGCTGGCTCAAAAGTACGATTTCTAACTATGCCATCAAAGGCTCCCAGCAGCAGCGATCTGAAGTCCAGCCAAGCAGTTGAATAGTGCCCGGACCCCATGCTGGCCTCCCGCAGAACCCCCGGGGTCACCCTGCCTAACCCGACCTGGCCCTGCATGCCCAAAGGTGCATGGCCTTATCGGCCYTTTATCAGCATTAAGTCCCGGGAAGGGCTTTGTGTGAGCTCAGTGGATCCAGAAGGTCCCTCCTGGGCAGCTCCCTCACCCCTCCAAAGCAGGAGGCCCACTGTCCTATCGCCTCTGCTCTGTCCCTGCAGACCCTGATCTGCCCCAGAGAGCCCCTGGCTCAGGCTCAGCCCCGGTCTCATTGTCAGACGTGAATGAAGAGGGCTGGATGTTTGCTGGTAGTGTGAGACCTCATTCAAACTATTCCTTTCTTCCTCTTCTTCCTCCTGTATCAGCCTCCGACAGGGCCAGGGCTCAGGGGTGGGGGGAAGGGCAAGCCTCAGCCTGGCCACAAAGAGACAGCCCACAGAACAAATCAAGCCTGAGATATCTACTTCCAGAGAGACAGAGACTGAGAGACAGGAATAAAGATCTGGGAATCTGCCCACGTGTAGGAGTTGAAATTTTCTCCGCAGATTCTGAAAGTCAAAGCTGACCCTCTGACCCAGCAGTTCCATTTTAGGGTAAAAAGCCCAGGGGTACTCTCACTTGTGAATGCTCACAGTGGCATCCGAACTAAGAGGATAAAAATGGAGAATAACCTAAATGTCCATGAAAAGGGGAATGGATAACGTGGTGCCATCAAAATATGGAATTCTCCACAGTGGTCCACAAAAAAAAAAAAAAAAGAAAAGAAAAAGAAATAGATTTACGTAGGGATGGACATAAATGAATAATTTTATTTTATCTTTTGTGACGCTGGGGAGCAGCCCGCTAGGCAAGCATTCTGTCACTGAGCTCTGCCACTAGCCCCATAAATGCATGTTGAGTAAGGAGGTGAAAGAAGCAGGTTGAGAAATTAAACATGAATGAGAGCATTTCTGTAAATTTGGAAATACAAAATATTGTTTCTGGATACATATCTGGAGAAAAGTATGAAAACAAACCTGAAAGATATAGATAAAATTGGTGATCTCTGTAGCCCTGAGGAAAGGGAGAAGTAGAATCGTGAGATGTTTAGAAAGGGAACCTAAATTTTCCTCTAAATTTTACTTTTTTTATGAGGAGAAAGCAAATTGGAAGCAAAGATGAAAATGTTTTAAATAATGTAATTAAAAATTGTTAAAAGGGAGAAAAAGTCAGTGACAGAGTGGTTAAGAGACTGCTGCCACTTCTGTGCTATGTGATCTTGACTAAGCTACTTGACCTCTCTGAGTTTCCACTTCTGTAAAAGTGAGCAACAGAGCTCTAGCTCCCAGGATTATTAGCATGGGGAATAAATGAGTTAATATATCAAGTGTCTAGAACAGTAACTGACATGTACTAAGTACCGGTGAATACATCACTTACAAAGTGATTTCTATTTTTACTGTAAGTGGAGCAATGAATGTATTCAAAGATAAATATTTAGTGCTGTATTCCTTCCTTGCCTTTTCATTCATGACCGCTTCCCAGTACTAAACCCAGTACTCATCCGTATTCACAGACATTTCACAGCTCAGAAAGCTCCTCTCTAGAAAAGGAGTATATTTGCAGTTTTCCACTGGGATCATAAATGGGAGTCCCTCCCCACCCCCCTTCCACTTCTCTGCCTCCTGTGGCTTCTCAATGCCTTCAAGCAGAAGGCTCTGGGTGAAGGAAGCTGGTACCAGCGACCTTGAGTCACTGCTGATGAGAGAGGTTGTGACCCTTCCTCACAACCTGTCCTAACTGCAGAAATGAAAGTTGTCTTGACTTTACCTAACAGGAGTCGCCCTCCCAGATGGGCCCTTTCGMAAAGGCCATGGATCAGCCATGATTATCAATGTGCAATAACCCAAACTTGCCAGGCATAAGTTGGGCAGTGCAGCCTAGTGGTTACAAAGGTGGGCTTTGTTCCACCATTAACCGAGTGGCCCCTCAGTGCCCTCAGGATCCCCATCCCTACAGTGGAGTTATTGAAGAGTACGAATCATCTCCATGTGAGCCAATATTACTTCTACCACGTATTACATTCCTTTTTCCAAGACACACAYGTTGGGCTTGGTCTAATATCTACATATTCAAAAACTGATCCGTCTTGATACCTCACAAAATACAGCACTAGAAAATGCTGTGGTGTTTCTAAAGTATTTTAAAGACACAGGACATGGGCCAGATCTGTAACTGAGAGCATGTGTGTATGATCACTTTGTAGACAAAAAAGAGAGCCCTTTAAGGAAAAGATTTTTTACAGACACAATTCACAGTAAATACAAAAGATAAAGGTTGTGGTTTTACTAAGAAGTTGCACCAGAAGTTACTTCCTGAGCTACACCAGAGTGGATTCATTTCTGGGTGGGACAGTACTGTGGCTTCAAAAACAATTATTTTGGGGATAAGCAACAATAGGGAGGGAGAGGTGAGGGGAATCAGGGAAGAGCAGGGTGAAATGGGGAAGTTTTGGGAGAAGCTTAATGTCTAGCAGAATGCTACACTCTCCAGACATTGACCTACCACCTGTCCTTATCATGKTGACAAAGTCCTAATAATCACCACTAATTTGTGGGAACTTGCTCTTTGCCAGGTCTGGGCAAGGGTTTATGAAGTTCAGTTCAATCCTTGACAGAACATTCTGAATTAGATGCCATTGTTATTCCTGACATGATTATTTCCTATCCTACACATGAGAATAGTGAGGCTTCCAGAGGGTGAGTAATTTGCCTATCACACAACTGGCAAGTGGCCAAGTTCAAATTCACACCCAAGTGGAGGGAATCTGGAGCCTGGGCCATTAACCAGCACACTGTCCTGCAGGCTGCAGGCTGTAAGGGCTTTGCAGAAGATAACAAGGATAGCACTCATATGTCACTCATATGTGATAAGAAGTCCGAGTCGTTTCAGTTCTAAGCAAGATAGGGACGTGGTAGGATTTCAGTTCCAGTAAATTGCCCTAGCAGTAATGTAGAAAATAGATGCCTMGATGTCTCCATTTCCAATAAAATTCACACTTTTTTCCCAACAAATTAATATAAATTTTTATGGTTAATTGATTTCTTTAAACTTTTTTTAAAATTGTGGTAAAATATACAGGTCACAGAATTTATCACTTTAACCATTCTAAGGGTGTTGTTCAGTAGCATTATATACATTCAGTGTTGTATGACCTTCATTGCCATCTATCTTCAGAAAATTTTCATTGTCCTAAACTGAAAACCATGTTCTCACTAAACATAACTCATCATTTTCCCCATTCTCCCAGTTCCTTGTAACTTCCATTCTACTTTATACCTCTGTGAATTAGACTACTCTAGGTACCTTGTGTAAGGGAACAATAACAGTATTTATCCTTTTGTGTCTCAYTCATTTCACCCAGCACTTTTCAAGAGTCATATGTAGCACATTTCAGAATTTCATTCCTTTTCAAGGCTGAATAATATTCCATTGTATGGCTATACCACAAWTTGTTTATCCATTCATCTGTTGATGAGCTAGCTGAGCATTTGAGTTGAGTTCCAACTTTTAGCTGTTGTGAACAATGCTACAGTAAACTTTGGTGTAGTCAAGCCAAGTAATATCTTAAATTGAATGGAACCTTGCCTTTTCCCATCCCCTCCTCTATAACCCTGTTCTGAATCCAAACCGCCTCAATGTTTTTAGGGTCATGCTCTGAAACTTTTTTTTAAATCTCTCTTTGCAGTGACCAGTCCATCCAGGAGAAGAGTCAAAAGCTCTCAACACCTCTTGACCAAGAATGTAAGGAAACTTTAGTTTTGATCCTCTTTGGCTGCCTTTCATTACAAAAGCAATGC